CAAATTTAATATTCAACTAGCTTATATATCGTCTAAATTTATCAACAAAAAACATCCAAAATCATCATAGCATGTTTAACGATCTTGAGTCTCCGAACATTGGTCTTGAACAGTTAATGAAGATGAACTTGGAACTGACCGGCCGGATATAATAGACCTCACCATTTGTCGCAACTCCGCGACTTCATCTTTCATAAGAAAGAGCTCGGATTTGGTAGAAGCAAGCTCGGACTCGGTTGAAGCAAGTCTATTAGACATCTCGCTGTGGCTCTATCGACTTGATGCACCGGTGCTATGTCGCGAACTTGTAGAATCACTCCTAGTGCTCGGGACCCTCGACCATCTCCGAATATATGCAGGTCTTTTACCTAAGACTTGTTGCATMATCTCTAGATCACCCGGGGGATTTTCAGTTGATTCACTTTGCCGCTTAATCTCTACCATGTTCTCCTATGAACATAAAAATCATATATATAAATCTTATTGATTTATAAAACGATGAAGACATGCAAAAGAGTTCGTTAAACGTAACTTACATATGAAGTGCGAGAATAGTCATTGACCCAACCATCTTTTTCTCTATAATGCAACTTTTGAAAAGTCTCTATCTCACCGATAAGAGGATCGTCGGACAATCCTCTATTTCGAAAATGGTGATTCGGAGTGCTCACTGTACCGTTTAAAGCAACATACTTTCAATGAAACTAAAAGAAACCCATCAAATATTGAATCCAAACTTACTGCTTTTCAGCAGCTTTATGTGGTAATGATGTTGGTGGGTGAAGAAATATTAAACAGACACATAGCAGGACTGGAACTATGACTAATGGCAATAGCGAGAAATTACGAAACACTGAAACATCTTACCTTACTGCATCAAGCTACTTGCTGATCCATACGATGATTGAAGTACTCGAAAGCAAGGTTCAACTACTTGATTAAACCATGGTAAACATCAAACATATGTAAACAGGTTCTGCACATAAGTGTTAGGAGCTGTACACCAAACAGTCCTAACATAAGTGTATGAATTGGGGGAGCACAGTAACATGATTGATTAAAATACAGTGGCAATAGCAACACAACACAGTCAACAGTTGATATAAATAGGTCCTAAAATAGTTGCAGCAGAAGACATATTGGCAAAACAGAGTAATCCACAAGTGATGAGAATTGCATTAAAATGCTCTTTCCACGGTCCTAAAAGTGCAGCATAAGCATAAAACATCTCCTTTTACCAGCTATATAAGCATAAAACAGCTTCAACCAAAAACAAAAAACATGATTTATAATTGTTATATGCAAAAAATAAATCAAACTACTAATAATTGCATTTAGGACAAAGGTGTTCCATCCAAACATCAACAGCAATGGTTGCATATGCTTGGATATCCTCAAGGAACAATGGAGTCCAGCATTAACAATCTCAAAGGTTCAACTCATCTTTATGGATTAACAAAATAATTTCCTTATTAATTCATTTATGCCCCACCCATTGTTTCTAATTGCATCTAAAATAGAGTCCCTTGGCCCTTTTTTCTTGTAATTTTATCTCAATCAATCTGCGAGTAGTATTGGGAATTGTTTTGGCCGTATAAGTTGATGTGGTCGAGGTCACCTACTAACAGTAGTGTTACTGTTATTAAGATCGGTGGATTTGGACGGATTCCCCACTGCCCTAAGGTTGGCTTGTATGTCCTGAGTTTAGCCTTGTATCTGCTACTGTTTTGAACATTCCGATCCTCTACCAATTGAGCCATTTCCATCACCCTCATCAACTCCTGCAGCCTCAACAATCTTACTTCTACTTATTTGAACATTTCGTCTACTAATTTATTGTTTCTAGCATCTTGATTTCATATCATCTGGATGCTCGTCTTCATTGATTGCACTTTAGCAGTCAACAATTGCAGATTCTTATCCACCGCATCGGTTTAGTGATATTCTATTATTGGTTCAACAACCACGACTAAATACATGATCAATTAAACAGATCCAAATCAAAATGTAGAAAAATGTGAATCAAGTAACCTAACTATTGTTAAGAGATAAAATGAAGCGTCTTACCGAGAAAACGATCTAAACAGAGACGATTGTTCAATCCGAGTGGGAGATCCCATCAGACAATCTAAACAGAGAGCGAGGTAGAAAGAATCTTCATCTGAATTGAGCGATTGTGGGTGTAGAGACGTTATTGTTCAAGCCTTAACTCGAAGATTACTCAAACCCTAACTCGAAGATATGAAGAAGAACTGAACTCGAGGTCGACAATAACCCTAATTCGAATAGAAATCGTGAAATCATTGAAGAGAAATCGTGGAATCTCAGAATCTGAATTGAGGAGAAATCGTGAACTCGCTTTGAAAAGTTATATAAGTGTAATTGGAAATTTTATTAATTAAAAATAAAAATAAAAATCATTTATTTTTAGAGACGTTTTAAAAAGTGTCGCTAAAGCTTCTGACTCTATTTTTAGAGACAATTTTCATAAAAAACATCTCTAAAAGCTTTAGAGATTGTTTCTATAGCGAATAATTTGGTTCCAAATCCTTCTCTAAGAATTGTCTTACATTCAGTTACACTTATCACTTTTGTTATGTAGTTCCTTCTCTAAAAATCATCTTTAGATGCGCTTCCAAATCCTTCCCTAAAACTTCCCTCTCTAAAAACCTTGTTCCTTGTAGTGGTCGGACATCCATCGGTAACTAAATCCGTCGATAGTCTGTCAAGAGTTTCCGATAGATAATATTTTTAGTTGCCGATGATCCATTATTGTTGTTCTGTCGATAATTACTAACGGATAAAGTCCGTCAATAAGTTCCATTATCTAATAGTGGTGTAACACCTTGGATAAGATGTATGAAAACAATATTACCTTCATCCAAAAATGTAAAGAGTTTGTTTCTCTAAATACCATCTACTTACAAAATATATATATTAATAAAACAAAAATTATTGAACTAAAAATGAGACATATATAAATGGTCACAAGAAAATTAACTTGAAATATAAAGGTTCAACATTATTACAATCCATAATTATACAATAAACATTATTACACCTCATAATTAACATACTTATTGTATGGGTTTACAGAATCATAGTGGCATCTTGATCATAAATCAAAGACGTCATTTATTTTATCACAAATATTTATATTATCATCAAACTTCCTACGGAATACGTTTACGTACGTGCATGGTAGTTCATCATCCTCAAACTTGGTATATTACAGTGGTAGTGGGAGGAGATAGATCATGATCATCTCGATCGAGAGGTGATAAAACCCAATCCCCACTTTCATTAAGCACCATTCCTTTGTTCTTCTCAGTCCACCATGACTGAGGTATCTGGTACTTGTCTTTCAGAAGATCACCCCACATGTTCACCGAACCTATACCCTTCCTCTTCTCTACCGATTGCCAATTAAACTCTCTATCCTTCCCATCATAACCAGCCAGAGTATGCAGCATACACTCCAAGTTATGGTAATCTGCAACATGTAAGATCTCCAACCCATCTTTCTCTTTCAAGAATGGTGACCTTTTGGTATCAATCAGTATCTCGATCCCAACATCCACGTACACCAGCACATCTTTTGGTATAATCACCAAAGTAGTTTTGTCGTCAATCCAGTCCATTACCTTGCTTGGCCACTTAGGGACGATATCATGAACATTCTTTATGCTTATTACTTTCAGGTTTGGTAGTTCCTCCATCTTCGCTTTGAAGGCCTGGTTACCCACTTGTGGAGAAGCATAAACAAACGCCGATACCATGATATCAGGCGTGGCAACATTCGCAGCAAGGTCAAAAGCAGATATAGTTGCTAAGCTTGCACCAAGACTGTGTCCAATGCACGTTATGCTGATTTTTTCATCTTTATACTTGACCAGTAACTCCTTGATTCGTGCTAAGAGCTGTGTTCTAGCACTTGTTTTCACCAAATCAGAATCAGGGTTACCGGTGTTGTAAATTATAAGCCATCCTTCCATCACTTTTGGTTGGTTTATTGCTCCACCAATTAAAGAAATAAGATTCTTTCCGGTTGCAGGAGGGAGCAGTGGGTCGGCTGGCACTGGCCCTGCGTCTTTGATGTCGTTTATCCACTCGTAACTTCGGACAGTCCCACGCCACACCACGCATATTTCACGGCGGCCGATAGATTTACTGTACTCATCATTGGAAACTGCTACATACCCCATCCAGTTTGATTCGAACTCGCTATTTTCACGAGACAAACCATGGATGAGAAAAGGAAGTGGAAAGTCGACATGAGCGGTGGTGTAGATGAAAGAAGTGACGTTATACTTAGATTCAGCCCAAGGGAGCATGACTCCTTGGAAGAAGGAGCTCTTGCCATAGTGGCTGTAGCCAGCGTACTTGGAGTCGGCATCGTTATTCAGTGCTCGTCCAGCGGCTGATGCTAGATCGCCATAGCTTAGAATTAGAGTACGTAGGTCTGCGTTCATGGGATCAAGAAGACCATCCCAGTTGTTGCTTCCATGCAACTCTTCGTAGGTTTTTGAAGCCATTTAGAAGGGCGAGGGGTTGAAGAAAAGGTGAATAGCTGCTTTTTTTTCTCTCTTTATTAGCTAGCTGGTGTGCCTACATCTTGGAGGATGAGTCGCAATTTATAGCAAGTTTTGATGACATACCATTCACATGCAAAAACAAAAAGCGTTTTTCTTCTTCTTTTTCTGTAAGATCTAAAAGTTATGCATTGGTTCTCAAATCTATTTTGGATACTTGGATTAATTTGGTCACCAAAATCCGTAGATTAGAGATATTTAAACATGTTAGAAAAAAACTTTGCTTGGAATCCACTGAAAGTCGTTTATCACTTTCAGATTGAAGTATTTCGACGATACAATCGAAATCTCAATCGGATAAAATTCAGTCATTGACAAAACTTCAGTATGCAGAATCGTTATGAATCCGTGTACCTTTCTCTCTTACGAATTATGACCAAAAAAACCGAAAATGAAAAGTCCAAAAACTGTCAAAAACGACATTCGTTTGCACCCTAAACCGGGTTTAAAAACCGGGTTTAAAATCTAAAATTCGGATTTCTGATGTATTTTCTAAAATTCGGATTTCTACAATTCGGCTCTGCCCCTTAGACGCCGCCACCGGGGGGCTGCCCCCGAACCCCCGTCGTAAATCAAAATAAACTTAAACAAGTGTGCACTCCCCGCACCTTCCTTACTTGTTCGATATTTATCATGATTACATTGGTCAATAAATTAATCTCATTACACTTAAATGATATTAGTGATACAAATTACCAACAAAACATGGTCTTAAAAGTGAGTTTACGATCAATATAAAGCAAAATTATTTCCATTTGACAGACTGAGGAACATCGCAAGATAGTAACGAAACAACCAAAGAGGGGGTGGGGTGGCTGTTGGCATGATTCACGATGATTGTTGGGTACAAACGGGAGGTTGATGGAGTTGTACAATATATGCCATCAATGCATGAACATGTATCAATGCACCAGTAAAAATTGAAAACAAATTTTAATTAAGTTTGACAATTTCTCTCGCTCTATCTCAGAGTATCCATTCACGCGAAACTGATCTGCTTAATTCTATTTCTCCTTTCCGTAAGCAATCCCGGGCTTTTTTCATAAAAATACCCTTGAATTTTAGGTTAGCCTTTGTTTAGTAATTTTAAGTTTTCAATTTGAATCAAGGTGAAAAACGTAAGAAGTAATCTGAACCTCTTGATCACTTTAATCTCAAACTCACACATGAATTGCACTTGATACGATGATTGATCTTGGTGCATCTCATCCAATGTGCATCTAAGGGTGAAGTTCGTTTCTTACGCTTCTCACCGAAACCTGACCCTATTCACGTAATGTATATTCCTAAGTTCCAAGTATTATGATGAAGTATACTGTAATGTAATAATATTTTTTTCATTGCAAGATATGCATAAAAAAACCCTAAGGATTTATAAACAAAATAAAATCCATGTAATGTTGGTAGGTCAATGGTGTACAGTACAAACCCTCTACATTCATTTAGTATCCAAAGCTAGGTAACATCCATTAAAGAATATTGACAGCAATAACATATGTGATATATATATATATACTTATGATCATGTGAGACCAAAGGTTTTTCTTGAGACCCGTAAGACCAATTCTCAACCCTTGGATTTAGATCTACAATATGAACATTCATAATTACAAAATTACCACTAGACTTCTCAATAATCACAAGATTGCCACCAAACAACTTTAAACCATTTGATCATTAGCTTATAAAGTTGATCAATGAACATAAATTGGTCTTACGGGTCTTACGAAAAACCTTTGGTCTCACGTGAACCCAACCCTATATATATATATATATATATATATACACATACATGCATACATATAACCAAAAGTTATTTTGAAAATTGGTAAATATTTGAGAAGTAAAAAAATGATTCTAGCTTTCGTATGGTCAAGATCGTATTTGACTGGTCAATAATTGAAGCATAGATTGGTCAATACACAGCTATGCAAAAAGTAGATATGATAGTTTCATAACTTTTACAACTAAGCAGCAAATGAGCCCATATATGAACATATGTGATTCACATATGAACTATATGTTCATATGTGAACCCGTGTAATTTACATATGAACTGTTTTGATTCACATATGAACCTGTGTGATTTATTTATGAACTAATTAACTGATTCACATATGAACTCTTGTGATTTACATAAGAACTAATTAACCGATCATATATGAACTAATTAACGATTTCACATATGAACCCATTTGTTGCCTATCTGTAAAAGTTACGAAACTACCTTTCTATTTTCCGCATACTCATGCGAGGAATTATGCGGTGCTTCACGGTCAAAGTTGCAAACGTTGACCAAATGAAATGTTAAATTACTTATTTACTTCTTATTACCACTTCTCAAATAAACCTTTCCATAAATCAAAGGGAGAACTCAGTAATTTATGACAACCGTGAGATCCAATCTCAACCATAAATCAAATGTTAAATTAGAAAATTAATAATTATGGTAATTTTAACTTTAAATATTAATTAAGAGCATTTTTTTAGATTTTAAAAATCCCATCTCTCCTCTCTCCGGCGAAATTCAGTCCAGCAAATCTTATTCCAATGAACCTTGTGTAAACACAATATACACATCGTGATACCTAAAAAATATCGTTAAAAAATATGCAAACGATATTCATTATGATACCCGTATATACATACAAGATGCACATTGTGATACATTTGTAAAACAACTAAAATAACAATACACATTATGATACCCTTTCTAAAATAACGAAAATGCATATTGTGATACACTTTATAAAACAATGAAATACATTGTAAACATTATCATTGTGATAAAAGACCATATATATTAGGTAATTAAAACTAATCATATATTTTCTTAAAAAATTAATCGAATCTTTTGATGAATTATTATGAATAAAATTACTAAATTATTTTTTTAACTTATTTAAAAAATATCCTTAAATATCTCAAATAAGTCGTTCAGAATCATTCTTCCTTTCCAAAGGCAACATCACCAAACACCCCAACAATTTCTACCAACGACTCACGTAACAATTCTCCTACGTACCTACGCCGAAGCACCCGAATCCCAAACATTACTACAAAACGTAACGAACCTAAAACACGAATTTTTTTCCTTTATACTCTAACACCCATTTGACATACTTTTAGAGTTTTTTATAACCAAAAATTTTAAATTAGCAAGACATGTTCAACCACATATAATATTTTATATACATATATAAGGGAAAATATTTGTTAACCAAACAATTAGTGTTAGCTATGCAAACCTACAATGGCTAATTAGATGCCAAATTAGATTGATGTATCATGACCAGGATCGTTTCAATCTTTTTGAAAGAACTGTTACATATGTACCAAAACTATATACTAATCGAACAAGTATTAAATATAACTGACAAAGTCGCATAAAAGTTTCTTAGAATCATTTTCCTAACATTTTAATTTTCGATCAAGATTTTTAATCAGTTCTTCGATAATCAACTTTCTCCAATAATTCATTAAGATGAAAGGATGAATATATAGGAGTTTACTTGTTACCTCAAGTTCTCGAAAGACCCTGGCTCTATCCTACACTCAAATTGTTCCCCAACTCTCAACTTTTCTGCATGTTTCTAAAGGGTTATAATGATATGGACAATGATAATCAATATCACGATGAAAGGAATAAAAGAAATTGAAGGTGAGGCAACTCGTCAAACAAGAAAGGGAAAAAGAGAAACAAAGAACAAGGAAGAGGAAGATTATTAAACAAGTCGTGTTTTGGTACTTCAATAATAAAATTAGCCATCGGGAGAATTAAGAAGAATGAGACTAGCCGATTTAGGGAGATCAATTGTCAAATTAGAGACCTATTGAGAATGGATTGCATACTTTCAATTGTACTTGTAACACCCCAAATCCATGGTTTGCATAAAATCCACATATTCCATATAACATGAAATACAAATATACATATTGATCCCAATATATACAAATTACTATATACAAAAATAGTTACAAGTACATGGCTTGTATATAACACATTTGCAAGTACATGCACATATTCGGCTACCCAAAATCCACAGATATAAAGCAATCAAATCCCCCTTCACATCTTCTATTTCCCTTTACCTCCCACCAATGTCTGTCATGTAATGCACATAAATGAGACCCTATTATCTATCCTAGTAATATCACTTTGAGAGAGGTGGTCCATTCTTTCTATGCAAGGAGAAGCCAACAAATTTAAGAAAACTTGCCTCCTGAATGCGGGGCTGATTTGCTAACCGTAATGAACCCCCTAAAAAGAGCCGTTAAATGATCGGACCAGACAGGCGCAGGTAGCTGAAATGGAATTCGAATCCATGATTTAGCAGTTGGTTGAGCAGTCGTGGCAGAGTCTATATATTGCTCGTGAGCTGCCAAGTACCAGTCTTGCAACAGTATTGGTGGCGCAAAACAGAAGGATCGGTCTTAGCTCATGCCCTGGTTTAGAATTTATTTCTTTCCCTTTATTTTTAGTTTTAAAACACAAAATGAAGGTTAAACCACAAAGTCTAGTTTAAAATCCCCTTGATAGCTATTACAGAGTGAAAATCACTAAAACACTTTTTAAAAAGCTCATCTTTAGAAGATAACATATAAATAATATTTATTATAACAAACCTTCATTTGTCACATCATATAGATGAGGCAACCCTATTTCATCACATTAAACAACATAACAATCAATTTTTCGCATCAAACCAACTTGTCATATCACACTGATGTGATAACATATTATTGTCGCATCTCAAGGATGTGATAATCATTTTCCTCGCATCTCAATGATGCGATAACCCAATCTTGTCGCTTCATAAGGATGCGATAACCATCACTTGTCGTATCTCAAGGATGCAATAAACATAACTTATCGCATCACAGTGATGCGATAAACCCATCATGTCGCATCATAAGGATGCGATAAAATAACACTTCAACTTAAATCCCAATTTCATCGCATTATATATACGATAAAAATCCATCGCA